CTCAACCCAGGAGTGTTTCTCACTCTTACTCCTCCAGTTCTTCCCCCCATCTCATTGGGGTAGGGGGAGTGAGCGAGTGGCTGCGTGGTGCTGAGTTGTTGGCTGGGGCTAAACCACGATAAACCCTTATAACCAAACCTTACGGCTGTCAAGAGTGTCGCTCTGGATTACAGTGGATTGTGTTGGGCTTTTTTTTTTCTCTTTCAGTTAATTTTTGTCAGCACTGGTTTGAGTATTTCCCCAATCCCCCAGTTAATGTCCTTAGTATGATGGAAAATGTTTTGGCACATCATGACAAAGAACTACTTCAGCATTTAGTAAAATACAATGTGACTTCACAGGTAATATTCTAGCCAACTTTTGTATATAAAATGTCACTGCAGTGAATGACAGTGCACTAGCCTTTTATTTTGAAATAATTCTTTTTTGAGGGAGTTTTCATTAAATAACAGTGATAGATACAGGAGTGTAAAGAACATATCATTGCTTTCCTGCAGCTTTTCCTTTTCCATGATCATAAATCTCACATATGTGCTACTGTAGTTCTTAGAAGTGCTTTGCTTTCAAGTTGAAGTTACTGTAGTTCAATTTTCAATTGCTTGAAAATCTACTTATCAAATCATAACTGTAGTTTCTTTTTTTTTTATAGTGGACATGGTGTGATGAATTAATTTTGTAATCCCTATTTATCGTTAGGGATTAATTTAGCTTCATAAATCTAAACAGAAGATTTAGACATCCAGTAAAATAAGAAATTTATTTATAATCACCCCATATTAATTTTGAATGTTTAAAATGGGTGATAAAACTTATCTTCAAATATTCTGGTTTAGTTCCCATTTCTTTCATAAATCAATAGATTCTTGGTATAAGGCAAGAAAAATTCATATTATTTCTTTAAAAGGAATGGCAAAAATGTACTAACGGATTATTTTGTCAATTTTCCCAAACAATGTAGGTTTATGCTTGGCCTCTTCTAGAAACACTGTTCTCTGAGGTTCTAACAAGAGAAGAATGGCTGAAAGTCTTTGACAATATCTTCTCCAACCATCCTTCATACTTTCTAATGATTGTTGTTGCCTATGTTATATGTTCCAGAGCTCCCTTGCTTCACTGTAATCAAACAGGGGATTTTGAGGTAAACATCTTCATATTTAAGTCAGTCATATGAAAGTGTACCTACAGAGACATATAAAACATTGTATCTGTTGTTATGGAGGTTAGAGGGAGATGTTTCATTTCCACATTAATATATTTATTACATGTTTCTGAACAAGGTCATCTAGTAACTAACAAATATACAATAAATGAGTAAAATATTGAGCAATTTCCTGCAGTTTCATGCAACGAGATCTTTAAAAGCTTTCATAAGCTTTCTAATGCCACTAACAGCCATTTTGTAAATGTCAATAGTTCATCAACCACAAAATAATTCTGCCTCTTTTGGGGGGATCTAATACGGACTTTTGCCTGTGGAGACAAGACACAGTCACTCTGTCACGTTGTTTCATTATTTTGCTTTCAGATTTGCAAAATTAGGCAGTATTATTTGATGTTCTCTGAAGCTAAATGAAAATGTTTCCTTATGTTTAGCCTTACATGGGAGGAGGAGGGTTTTTCATATGAAAACATCTCTGTAGGCAAGCAAAGGGTTCCACCTTGAAAATGTGCTTGTGAGTAGTCAGTTTGACAGACATCAAACAGACAATGTTATTGCTATGTTATTAATAACCAATTTAAAGATTTTCTTGGTGAATAAGATCTTTGACAGAAAGAATAGTCCTTCAAGAAGAGGAACTTGCAAGCTTCATGTTTGAACACCAGAAGTCAAGGGAGGTTTATCCAGTGGTAGGAGTGTCTTTGTGGGCAGTTGGGCACTCTAAATTCACACCTAGCTTTCCAGACCCTTACACAACTGCCATTTGAAGAGGAGGAAAAGAATCAGAGCATACTTTTACACCTTGAAGAGGTCTGGGTGAAGTCATTTGAGCTGGTGATATTTTACTAGTTGGTAGGGCTAACTTAATAATCCCTTTTTAAATCAACTTTTGGAATATAGATATTGCTAATTTACCTAATTATTCCCAAATAGGTATATTAAAAACTTGCTTAATCTTTTGTAGAATGTAAATAGCAGCATGTCTCTTACAGTATTTCTTTCATCATCGTAACAACCTGGACATTAACGTTGTGATTAAGGAAGCTTATCATCTTATGGAGGCTACACCACTAGATATCCATCCACAGCGTATGCTTGACGACTTCATACCACTTACAAAAGGACAGTACCCTGTATTTAATAAATATCCCAAGTTCATTGTGGATTATCAAACTCAGGAACGGGAGAGGATCAGACAGGATGAAATTGAATACTTACGAGAGAGGTATTAATGGGAAAGTTGAAGACAGTATCAGACTGGGAGGGACGGGTGGACACAATTGCCTTTTTCTGTTGTAATCTGTATGCTTGAGAAGAGAGACAATTAAGAAAATTCAGGAAGATGACTTTAAATAGCTGCTAAAGGTTAAGAATTATTTGGTTTGACATGTTTTTAAGTTAAATTGGTAGTCTTAAACAAAAAATGTTTGTTGATTCACAGAAAATATTGGGCCGCAAGTCTTCAAACTTGAAAGCTTGTAAGTCAGAGCCTAAACCCTCGTTGACTTTGTAGTGTCCAACTTTGTGAAGGGCCAGGAGTTCTTAGCTTGCTGCTGGAATCAGTGGGTACCATGATGCCATGGCACCTTTAGAAACTATTTTTTGTTAAGAATGTGAGGAAGAAAATATCTGCGCTCATCTGAAATGCCCTATTGTCTGTAACAGTCGGTATTGTAACTCTTCCTCATGTACTTCATCAGTACATTAAGGGAATGCCATGCTTTTTCATAACATCTCATTTCAGTAGTTCTTTGCTAGTACAGTCATCAATTTCTAAGTAATCACGTAATTTCTTGATACTTGGCTTGAATTATTAACATGTGATCTCTTTCCATTTAGACAATTAGCACATGAATTAGAAGCTAAAGCACAGCAACAGAAAGCAGAAGATGAAGCCTGGTATCGAAAACAGGAATTACTTCGAGAAGCTGAAGAACAGAGGCGAAAAATGCTACTGGAAGAAGAAGAGAAGCTGGCAGAACAGAGACAGAGGTATTACAATATAAGAAGCATTAGGGGCCTGGCTACTGTATCCTGCTATTACATTTTTAACCATGAGTAAAGGAGGAATAACCACTAATTTGTATAAATTGTAATGTGGGAAAACAGTGTGGTCTGGTGGGTCAGATTTTGGTGTGGGAATGAAGTGATCTGGGTTGTATTACTGCCTTGCCTGAGGGAATACAGCAGATTACAGACCAAGTCACTTCATATTTTTGTCTCAGCTCCCAGCCTTTTGTCTGGTCTCTTCGGGTTGTGAATGCTCTTAAGCAGTCAACTGCTGTGTATTTGCACACTGAGACTTCAGACTTGCACTGTGGGCAGACTCACACTGCAAATATAAGTCACTTGTAGTATCAGTGACTGTACAAATTCTTGTATTTCTAGTGGATTTAGAAAAAAGACTGCTTTATATATCAGTTGCTGAGCAAAGAGCTGTGATAGTACTGAAGCTGAATTGTTAGTTTGTACATTTTGCAGTTGTGAAGGTTTAAGAGAGTTTCAACATCTTCATAGTTTTTTAGATCGACTACAAGTAATCATAGAATCATTTAGGTTAGAAAAGACCCTTAAGATCATCAAGTCCCACCGTTAACCAGGTCCACCACTAAACCATGTCTACCACTAAACCATGTCCCTAAGTGCCATGTCTATAGGTCCTTCTCTTAAACCTCTAACCTACAGAGTAAGCAGTGCTTTTTTTAGAGGATAGTGAGCCTTGCTTTGCAAACTAATTCTTTAGTTTGTGGTTTTGTTCCTTGACAGAGTTTGATATTTTTCCAAATAAATTTAGAACTAAATTTGTGCAAAAAGAAGTACCAGGACACTGGCAATTATTCTAAGGAATAGTTTCCAGTTCTGGATCATTGCAATAGTGAACTAGTGTTTATTAAAGTAGAACAGAAATAGGGCACAGGACTTCACAGCTTAATTGGGGACGTTGCCATTAGATGATGTCTGTGTGCCTGTGAATTTAATTTTGTCTTGTAAATGAAAACTGGACAATTTAAAAGAATGAAAGCAACTATCCTCAGCTTTGTAAGTTAGAGATTAGCTCATAGTAACTAATAGATAACTGCAGTGGAAGTTTGTGCTCTTTGTTACTGACCTTTCATATATACAAGTTCCCTTGTTTCTGTTTGGTTTGGCTTTGAAGACTAGCTGCTGTGAAAAGAGAATTGAAAGTAAAGGAACTACAATTTCTAGATGCTTCGAGAAGGCGTTTTCTGAAATACCAGCAAGATCAGCGTGAAATGGAACTGAAACGTCTTGATGATGAAATTGCAAGAAAAGCTGAGTATTGCTCAAGCAATTCTTTTCTTGAAGTTTTATTAGTGAAAATAAACAAGGAAAAAATGCATAACTAAAATTTCGGTTTATATACTGTGATTTGTGAGCCCAGAGGTGTATTTAGCATGAGGTGGTAAGTGCATAATTTAACAGTTTTATTTGGCGCTTACTATGTTCCAAGGGCTTGCTTTAACTGGCAAAATTCCTGAGAAAAGTCAGATTCATCTGTATATTGGCAGTGTTGAAAAATGTAATGAGCTCCTTAAAGGACTAGTGAATTCTCAGCTGTCTGTGGGCTGCAGGTCCAGATTGCAAATTAACTCTGTCATTGATTGAGAGGCTCTGTAGCGGCCTCTGGCCAGGCCTGGCTCTGCTCCCGTGTTACTAGCTCGAGCACCGTGGCATGCAGATGCTGAAAATGGAAGCTTGTGAACCTTGTGGGCATGAATTGAGTCTTTGCAGGGCCATTCCTCATGTCTCAGCACCACACTTTGCAGAGTGCAGTGCAGCTGTGTATTTGTTTCCACAGTCAGGGCACTGTAAGATTTGTTAGCTTCAGCTCAGCACAGGTTCCGCCAGGTGCAAAGTGACCACTTCCCTATTTGTGTACTGTCCTCCGCAGCATTCTGGGTTCAGAGACTCCTTATTCGATTCGGAGCTGCATCTGGCAGATTATTAGCTCTAAATCAAGCCTGATATTTCCCTAATATGCTCAGCTGGATGCAAAACTATTCCTGTGCCTCTTTTCCACCTTGCCCTGTACTTTTGATATGCAATATTTTCCGTTATTCATGGTATGGCAGAAAGTTAACTAGAATTCAGAAGCAGGGTGTGGCTTGGGGTTTTGGACATTCTTCTTGATACTGATTTTTTAAGGGAGAAGAATTTCTCCTTTACTGTGTTTTCATGTGTTTCTCTTCTCAAGGCATCCATGAGAGAGCAGGAAACAGCTGCTACTGTTCAAGATGTAGAAGTACAACGGATGGAACTTGAATCACAAAGACAGCTTTTTGAACAGGTAATTATTAGGGAACTATACAGATGCTTATATTTAATGGTTCTTCCTTTGCAGTTCTCTGATTCAGTTGTGTTCATTCAACCAGACTTTGTGAGGAAAAAGGGGGCCTTTATTTTTTTTCCCCTTTTCCTCTCTGATAACTTTTTTAGAATAAACCCTCTGTTGATAAAAGTGTTAGTAGAACTCACTGTTATCTGTTTTTCTGGGAGAAAATACCCATATCCTCCCCATTTTATTCTTCTCTTGTGCAGAGGTATCATTTGGTTGCTGCAGGGTTTAGCTGTGTGCTCAGCTGGTTGAGAGAAGCAAGGAATGTGTAAATAAGAAATAAGTCTATAACAATATGTCCCTCGTCCCAGAAACTCCCACCTTTTCATCTGTGGTATCCAGATATATCTACATTTTCTGGAGAGAACAGTATAGCAGATTGATGTAGTTGATGAAAAAATAGCTAATTGCCAACAACATCATTAAGCAAAAAGGAATGGATGGTTCATGGGGAATGTGCAGTTCTTTTCTCAAATGACTGGCTTATAATTCAGAAATATCACTATTCAGTAATAAAGGGTTTTAATCAATAATACTGTTTAAAGTTAATTATGAGTTAATTATTACAAATAATTAATGACTGAAAAGCAAGGCTTTAGTAATGTCTGTTTCGGTTAGAAATAGTAAGTTAAGAGTTTAGAAATCACAGCTACATGTGCCCATCTTGCATGCCTGCAGATTTGATAGAATGGAAGCAGAAGTGGACATCCAGATAGCTAACCCTTATTTCGAAGTATGTGTCTGCTTATATTTGGCTTTTTAAAGCTTTTGGCCATGGACTTCTTATAACCCATGCTGAGCATAACTGGGCTAAATGTCTTTTAGCATTTATGTGTTAAATACACAGCCAGCTGTATTGTGGTTACATAACGCAAACCAGGCTAAGCTCATTTGTGTTCCAGTACATGTAAAGTCAACTGTTTAAAGGAACAAATTCTAGAGTGATCATCCTCTTTAGGCTAGAAAGGTAGCAATTATTTAACTAACGGAGGATATATGTCTGCCCACAAGAGTCTGTGTAGACAGGCTTTCCCTGCCCATGCCCTGAACTGACTGCCCCTCAATACAAGAAAGATATTGAGGTGCTGGAGCGTGTCCAGAGAAGGGCAACAAAGCTGGTGAAGGGTCTGGAGCACAGGTCTTATGAAGAGCAGCTGAGGGAACTGGGGTTGTTTAGCCTGGAGAAGAGGAGGCTGAGGGGAGACCTTATCGCTCTCTACAACTCCCTGAAAGGAGGTTGTAGTGAGGTGGGTGTTGGTCTCTTCTCCCAAGTAGGTAACAATAGGACAAGAGGAAATGGGCTCAAGCTGCGCCAGGGGAGGTTTAGATTGGATATTAGGAAAAATTTCTTCACGGAAAGGGTAGTCAAGCATTGGAACAGGCTGCCCAGAGAGGTGGTGGAGTCACCATCCCTGGAAGCGTTCAAAAAACGTGTAGATGTGGCACTTTGGGACATGGTTTAGTGGGCATGGGGGTTTTGGGTTGATGATTGGAATGATGATCTTAGAGGTCCTTTCCAATCTTAATGATTCCTAGTTTTTACTTTCATTATAAATGATCCAGCCACCAAGCCAGGAGGCATGGGGTTGCTCCTCTACCCTTAATTGGTTTAGTGGTGGACTTGGTAATGTTAGGTTAATGGTTGGACTGGATGATCTTAAAGGTCTTTTCCAACCTAAATGATTCTATGATGATTCTATGACTGTTCTGCTGCTGTCAGCAAGGGGCTATATTCAAGCTTAGAAGGCTGCGTATGTTAACTTTGCTTCAGTACCCTGCTGACACAGCTCAATAGATTCCTGCAGACCTGGGAAGGGGTTATGTCTTCTCCAGAAAACTGTGGAGATGTGCCCTGAAGAATGAGAAGAAAAGGAGAGTTAAAATCCTGTTTCTAGATCTACTGCTGATTCGTACTATTTTGGCAAACCATCTCTGCATTCAAGCTGCAAATGTGTTTATTATAAGTCCCTGTACCATGAAACGTGATTTATATTTGTGAAATATTTTCAGGTTTTGGCTAAAATGTACTACAAATGTGCAGAATATTTTAATGATGAATCTAATTCATGTAAGTTGGAATTCTGCTTTCATACTCCACTGTAATCCAGGGACTGGAAGTACATCAGTATTAACCTGCAAGACCACTGTGATGACTCAGGCTTAGTGTAATTCCAAGGGGATAAAACAGCAGGAACTATGACTTTCTTGGACAGTTATGATATGTAGTGGGATGTGTGGATATATTCAAATACTAGTTTAATGAAATTCAAATACATGTTAAAGAGACAGAATTACAAATATGGGTTAGTAGCTTAGCAACAATAATTTATGTTTGTGTGTTTGGCAGCATCTAATCAAAGATCAAGAGGCAGTTACAAAGGAAATGAAAGGAGAGGTAGATGCCCGTCGAAGAAGGGTGGATCTGGAACATCATCTTGTTCAGAGATTGATGGAAATAGATAGAGAAGAAAAACAGAAAGCTCAGATAGTAAGATGATTGGATCTTAACATGTATTTGGGGGATTTAGTATGCTAACTAGTACAAGTAGTACTAGTTAATAGTATTGTAATTGCAATTAACTAGTTCAAGTTAATATGAAAATATTTTCTAAAGAAATATAATTTCTAGATACCTATATTAATAGATTATGACAGTATGTTTAAAGTTTTGAGGTTTTCAAAAATCTGACTGAAGTTTCCAAACAGCTATATAATACTGAAATTCTCTGGGCCTGCCATGAATATTAACTTTTCTTTGCTTGTCAGAACTTAGAAGGCATATAAGACTCACAAGTGCTTTTCAGAATAAGACATCCTCCTGTTAAGGAACATGTTTTATTTGTAACCATAATAAAACAAAAGTAAGCCTCAAAGGAACTTTCAGTTGGTAGTACTTGGCAAGAAATTCAGCTGTAGAAACTGTCTTCTAGATCACAGTAATGAATGTGTGTAGCTTGACATTAGGAATTGTTCTGATTTTCAAGCTCAGAACTTGTAACTGAACAGTTGGAAAAATAGTTGCAGCTAACCCACTGCCCATATGCTTGGCATCTGCATTTATATTTTGTCTAGAAATAAACATATGGGTCTGAATTTTTGTAAACAGCCTTTGATTTTTGGAAGCAGATGGATGTGGGTGGAAGTATTGGCATCCAGGTATCAATCTTATGTTAATTGCACCTGTAAATTGTATTAAATCCATGCTAGGAAAGCAAAATCCCCAAAATCATGGAGAGGGTTGATGCCTCTTTCCAAAAGATTAAAAAAAAAACCAAAACAAAACAAAAAAAGACCCTTAGTAAGGGAAAGAATAAGAAGGATGAAGACGCAGCAAAAGAAAGCCCTGACAGATAAGCCAGTTTGCCCTAATGAATGGAGAATGACACTGCAGGTAGAGTCTCCCAGCAGGGACATCTAACAGTGATACTGGAGAACACTTCAGTTCGTCTTACCTTATCTGTATGTAAGGCTGTGTACTTGAAATAGAGTAATTGGATTCCTGGTGAGAAAGATGTTTTATTAGGTGGCTGAAGAAAATTTAGCCACAGCAGAGCAGAAACGCATTGACACGGACTGGAGGTTGCAAGCGTTGCATCAACTAAGGCGTGATGATCAGGACCGTGAGAAGCGTTATGAAGAGATAGCCAAGCTCCTGCATGACAACAGGGTGAAGGAAGCTGAACTGCTGAAGGACATGAGGGAAGCAGAACTAAAAAAGGTATTTGCATTATTTCTTTTTCTAAGTGGAACTGGCACAAATGTATCTGTCTTTTGCCCATAACATGGTAGAGCATAACACTGAAAGGTATTGAATAAATATTTTGTTAGGAATCTCCTTTCCTTTTTTGACTGGAAGTTTCTGGAAGCACTAGAGCAAACTGGTGAGGATATTTCAGGTTTAGGAAAGCATATTCCTAATTCTGTAAGTGCCTCTCATTTTTTTAATCTGATCCAAGACTTTTACCTTTCTCCAGGTGTTTGAATGAGAACTTTTTCAAAAAGAAACATTCACTCAGCTTACTAACATATATTTTGTTTTAAGGGTGAAGTTTAGTCTGTAATAATCCAGATGGTTTTACTTGTTGCTTTTTCCTTGCAACACGTCTGTTGCGGACACATTTAATATGTCTGTTGCACAGCAGGAAGAAGTTATGCAGAAAAAAGCTCAACTGGAAGAAGAGCAGAAGGCTGCTGCTGCTGCAGATGAGCACAGGAAGCAGTTTTTAGAAGACAAAATGAATGACGCGTTAGCATTGGCTGAAAAGCTGCAAAGAGAAGATGGCTATTTTGGTGAGCACATAGATAATGCAGTTCTCCTGCGTGGATGTTAGCATGAAGCATTCAGCAACTGAATACATGCTAAGTGTCCAATGTTAGGGATAAACTTAAGCTTAACTCCTTTACGTAAGTACTTTTTGGCAGTATTCTTTCATGAAACCGATATATCAGGCCAGACTTGGGAAGGAATCTCAGTTTAATATTTATCAGATGCAGCAATATAAATGGCATTTCTGGTAGGAGCACAGGTTTAGATCAGCTTAAGCCAATAGTAAATTCACATCCCTTAGAAATCCTCTGTCAAATAATGTAAAGAACAGCCAAATTCACTGCCAACAAGTGACTTTGCCAAGTGTTTGTTCACAGGAAAAAAACATCTATGCACTTCCAGAATTGGCCAGTACATCCTTCTCAAATGCTGCATTTGTGTGGTTTTGCAGATATTCCTCCTATTCCCCCATCTCTGCAAGGCTCACACAAGATCAGTGATTAGTATTAAGATTAGGTGATTAATATTGCTTTGGGCGAACTGTTTCAGACTTTGCCCTTATTTGCCTAATGTTTTTAATACGGAGTAATTTGCAACTGCAAATTATTAAAATGGGTGTCTCCTAAAACTGCGAGTAGCCATATTCCACATGATCTTAGTGGCCCATTTGTCAGAAGATTAATTATATAGGAAGAAACAGCACATGTGGGGCTGTAATTTCTTAAAATGAAATGCAGTGATGCATAGCTTTGACCCATAGACTAGAAACATTACTTCTAATTCTGAGCAAATTGTACTTGCCATTAGCTGGAGTGAGTGATTGTTCCAGTTTTGCTTCCTGGAGAAAAACTGTTTCACCTCAAGCTAGAAAAATTCACTAGAAATGTAAACACTTCTAATTTACAAAGAATCCTTCTCTCCATTTCCCACAGAGAAATTGCGTGATTTAAAGGCTGGATTTACAGAGAGAGGGGTAGACCTGCAGCGGGTGCCAAGGTCTGGAAACATCTGTCTGAATGATTTGTCTGCATCAGAGTCATCATTGCACAGTAAGTTTCTAACTTAGGACCCTCCTTTCTTTAACGTTTAATTTCAGAAGCATTATGGGAACACCTCATTGTACAATTGAGTCATTATTAGTTGTGTAGGTGTTTAGTGGATAGTAAACCAGTTTATTGTTGCGTTCTATTTCACACCTGAAAAAATGTCTTCACTACCAGGGGCAGCACAGGTAGGAAGTGCCTGAAGTTAGTCACATTCTGAGAATAGTCATATTAAATCTCCGCCTAGTTTAATCTCATTCTGACCTGGTCATTTTACCTATGCTTATTCTGTCTTCCTAGTTAAGTATGATTTGGGGATGCTGAGTAGAACTGTCTGTCTTCAAAATCACTGTCTTTCATCAAAATCTTACTGAGACTTACAGTCAGGAATTAGTCTGTAATCATTTCCTCTGGGCTGTCCTAGCCGTTATAGCCAGTGAAAGCACATTTTAAAATCACATGCATTGTACGTACAAAACTGTACGCAATGGGAAGCATGTATCTATGGTCCTACCATAGCGACGCATCAGCGTCTGACCTTTTTGTAACAAAACATTGGTAACACTTTCAAAGAACTTAAGCGAAGTTGTTCCTTCCTTTTACGGGTCTTAGGGCTGTCTCGCATACAGTGGTACTAATAAAACATAGCGTTTCCATGCAGGAGGTATCAAGTTTTCCAATAAGCGTTCATGGTATTTATGGAAAACCGCTAGTTGCAATATTAAGTCCAAGTTTCTTGCACTTAAGTGTCTTTAGGCAGAAGACGAGAAGAACTGGCATGCCAAGAGCGGGAACTGATGGCCGAAGTCAGACGGCTCAGACAAAAGCTTGCCTCGCAGGCTCGAACTAGGCATCCTCCAACTCATTTCCAAGCTACAAAGTGGACGCCTTGAGATGTTTTGCTCTGGACCTCATCTGTACTTCCAGATTATTAATCAGTGAAATGCTAAATATGTATAGTGTGATTAAGGACTGATCACAGGTTGTTTATTATAAAGGTCTTTGGAAATATTTTTATATAAAAATAAAATGCTAAGTAGAAAAATGTGTGTTGTTTGTAACCTTCTCATTATTTTCTTGGTAACTATAATGCTATTTTTACTTCTAAAATAAACTCACTTTTTACCATTAAGTTATTACACTTGCAGTATTTGTGTACTTTATTTGTTCTGGTGAATGCCATGACTTGAAGAAACAAACCACTGCCAAAATGTTGTTTTTGTCAGTGATGTGTAAGTGGAGTCTACAAGTTGCAGCAAGGAAATTTGCAATTAGAGAAAAAAAAAAAATCCCTTCCACTGAGAGCCAAACACTGAAAATAAGGCCCAGAGAGGCTGTGGAACCGCCGTTGCTGGAGATACATGTGGTTGTTATACATATTAGCAGGTACATTTCATGATAAAGAAAGGGGCCAGAGGATCTAAATGAAACCAATCATTTTTGTGCTGCTAGGCCGATGTTCACGTTAGCATGCTCTGTGTCTAGAACCAGGACCAGTTGCATGAGTAGCGACCGGGATCCATGGAAGCCTCGTTGCATCCCGCAGCAGAGCACGGGGCAGAGGCATCGGTCCTGCTCAGAGGGAGGAAAAACTGCAGCGGGCACGGCTCGGCCCCGGGAGGCAGAAGGAGCGGACGAGGAAAGTGCCTTGTTCCGATGGCTGCCTTGGAGCTTGCATGTCATAATGTCTACATTTAAGGAGAAAAAATAAACCCACAAAAGTTTTTGGCCGGCACCTTGTTAGTGTGCATGGTGGGGTTGGGTTGATGGTTGGATTGGTGATCTTAGAGGTCCTCTCCAACCTTAATGATTCCCAGTTTTACATTCATTAAAAAGTTAATCCAGCCACCAAGCCAGGAAACATGAAATTAATTATTCCTCTCCCCTTAATTGGTTTAACGGTGGTCTTAGTGCTAGGTTGATGGTTGGACTGGCTGATCTTAAAGGTCTTTTCCAACCAAAACGATTCTACGATTCTACATTCCCTTCCGTGGGAAGCTCCCCCCTGCCCGCAGCAGGGGAGCGGGGGGAAAAGGAGGAAACCACGGCTGCCCCGTGTGAGGATCGAACTCACGACCTTCAGATTATGAGACTGACGCGCTACCTACTGCGCTAACGAGGCTCCTCGGCAAGGACCGCCCCGCGCAGCGCCCTTCTGCCTCCCCGCCCCGGGGCCTCCGCTCCCGGCGCTGCCCGGGAAACCTCGCCTCGCTGCGGCTCGCTCCTTTTCTGCAGGGGACACCTCTCTGCGTGGGGTTTTTTTTCCCCAAATTCATTCATTTCCCATGCTTTTCTGCAGGACAGACCTGGTTTGGCTGGGTTTTTTCCCCAAATTCATTCATTTCCCATGCTTTTCTGCAGGACAGACCTGGTTTGGCTGGGTTTTTTCCCCAAATTCATTCATTTCCCATGCTTTTCTGCAGGACAGACCTGGTTTGGCTGGGCTTTTTTCCCAAATATATTCATTTCCCATGCTTTTCTGCAGGACAGACCTGGTTTGGCTGGGGTTTTTCCCCAAATTCATTCATTTCCCATGCTTTTCTGCAGGACAGCCCTGGTTTGGCTGGGTTTTTTCCCCAAATTCATTCATTTCCCATGCTTTTCTGCAGGACAGACCTGGTTTGGCTGGGTTTTTTCCCCAAATTCATTCATTTCCCATGCTTTTCTGCAGGACAGACCTGGTTTGGCTGGGCTTTTTTCCCAAATATATTCATTTCCCATGCTTATCTGCAGGACAGACCTGGTTTGGGTGGGGTTTTTTCCCAAATTCATTCATTTCCCATGCTTTCCTGCAAGACAGACCTGACATTTTTTGCAAATGTCTCCTCTTTCCCACACTGTTCTGCAAGAGAGACCTTGGGGTTTTTTTTCTTTGCAAATGGCTCCTCTTTCCCATGCTGTTCTGCAAAACAGCTCCATTCCTGAAAGAGTCCTTCGGGATTCCTCAGCGTCCTCATCCAGCTCTGCTGCCCAGGAGCAGACTGTGAGGGCTGCATTGACAACACGCTCGCAAGGAAATCATGTTGTTTCCACATAATTACAAAAATTAAAGCCAACCTCATTTGCCTCTCTGCTGCGAAGAGCCGCTGTTCGACTGGGATTTCTGCAGTGAAATGAACTCCATGCATTCACTGAAGTGCTCCACAGAAGAGGGTCCCTTGCGATGCCGGCAGGAGTGCTGCCCTGAATCCTAATCGGCAGGCCTCACCCTCAGTGAGGCTCTCCAGGCAGCGGTCACCATGACACTCAAGCTACAGATACCTAAATTGGAAGAAGACAGGAAAACAAACATTTAATTGATGCAGAAACTCTCCAAACCTCGCCCACAAGAATCACCATAGGGAGGCCGTTCGCCAGCAGAGCGAGCAATCGGCAGAAGATGAAGGAGGAGCAGACCTTTGGACATCACTCCCACCAGACCAGAGGAGATCTTTGGGTTCCGTTGGACAGCCCGAGGGTTTTGCCAAGGGTCTAGTGAGAAGCTCTTGTTGTCAGGGGGACAATACCCTGATTTCCAAGGCTCTGGCTGGCCGTGCATTCGGGACGACCAGGTGACAAGTCCAGGCTGCAAGGCTTGTGGTATGAACCAAATTGCTACAACCACAGGATGAGTAAGCGCACGGCTTCTTCCAGCCTGAGCCGCTGCGTTCCTCCCTCCAACACTGCCCACGTGCAGGGTGAGGATGTCATTTTTAACCGCGTGCTAATTCTTTGGAGCTTCAGTGACGGATGAGGTTAGTGCCCACAATTCTGATTAAAATAAGAAAAGCTGCTGCAAGCAGCTAAAACAAGGCACATGGACAATGAGTCACCCAAACCAAACATCAACTGTTTGGAAATATGTCTGTAGCTGTTTTCCACCTGTATTGAATCACATGGTTTTTCCCCCACATTACGCTACGCTCAGCCAGTACTCAGTTTCTGACACAGCTCTAGAAGGCCTTGCCATGTCTGTTTGTTTAGGAACTAACTGATGGATTCATGAGGAGGACAGGAAAAGTACTCACAGCAAGGATTTTCATGTGAATGAAACAAAAGATGTCCTTGGTGACATTGCCTCAAGCAGAAACTCGGCAGTCTACAGCACACACGTGCTTTTCCCTCTTTTGCATTTTCTATTTATATCTGGACTTCCTTCTTTCTCCTTTTCCTCTGAGTGCTCCTGCTGTGCCTAATCACCCTACAACCTTCTCTCCCTTTCCCTCACCCTCCTGACCCCTATAACCTTATCCCACAAGCCTTGGTTCTGCGGATGCTGAGCCACTGCGTCCTGCTCCGTCCTTCTCGGTGATCAGATTTTCCCCCTGCCCCACTGACCCCCTTTCCAGTCCCACCCAGCAGAAGGCAGGACAGCCCATCATAAATCCATGCCAATTCCCACGGAGCTCCATCACCCCACGCCCATTTCCTCCAGATTAAGAGGAAAAAGGGGAAAAAAGTCTGTGGGGCTGAAAGGCAGCGCCCACCTCCGTGATGCCCTGATGCCACCTGGCAGGGGGCAAAGCCCAGCAAAGTCAGAGGCCATGCGACAAGCCCCAGGGGCTCTCAGTGCTCGGGGTGACCGCATCTCCTCTTCCCACAGAGCAGAGTGGGCGAATCCCAGCCTCTCGTCACACGGGAGAGGAGAAACAGCTGTGGTCTCCGCTCCAAGTTTCAAGCCCCAGACAGGAAAGGTTTCCAGCGCTGTTCTTGCGGAGCGTCGCACAACAGTTACAAGCAGAGAGTTTGGAGGCTGGGCACAGCGAAGCTCCTTGGGGCCCAGAAGGCAGAGAGCTGGTGAAGAACAGGGTGCTTATAATTGAATATAACTTATAACTTCCACCCTGTCATCAGACTGTAAAATTGGCACTTTCTCCTCCATGTTACTGCAGCCATTACCTGAACCTACCAGCTTTTTTCGGTGACGGTAGGGAAAATGGTAAAAGTGCATTTTCATCATCTCCCATCCCCTGTGGTGCTACCAAGGGTATGAGCACCTTTCTTTGTGAACATCACCAGAATAACAGCCCAGAGCTTCCCAGTCCTGCTTTTTCAGGCAGGCAGCTTGCAGCCATGACCCCAGGGCTCTTGAAAAAGGATGTACCGAAAGGGGAAATTTTATTGTTTTATTTCCCTTCGGAATTAAGGAGCTGATGCAGCTCTCGCTCTAGTCAATTAGTCTTCACGCTCACTCTAAAGGGCTTTGGATCGGTCCCAAAGTTAGCGTCCTCATTTTCTGTAATCCTGGAAGTGTTTACGCCTTCCCAGCCCCTGAGCGGGGATGAGCCAGCTGATGGCATATCCAGCCAATTAAAACCTGAACGGCTAGGAGAGAATTATTTATTTTCCATTTGGCAAGAGGGACAGAAAAGTATGGCAAGGCAGGCCGAGACAGATGAACAAACCCTCTTTGCAGGCCCTGTTTGCCACACAAAGTATTTGCAGCATGGTTTTTTGGCATAAGCCTGCAATGTGATTTCTGCTTTGTAATAAGCATCGTTGGAGGCAGGACACTTCGAAGAGAGAATATTTCAATAGAAAGACCAAAGAATTTTGCTTTGTTTTTTGTGATGTGCATATTTTCATCTCAGATATTCTTTTCTTGCTATTTTAAGCTGGAAAATAGCTCTTCTCATCCCGATTTCAATATTTCCCACCTTCTTCCTTCCTGTCTGGATGTTGATCTCACCAGATTTTGCAGGATAAACTGATCAGTGGACAGACTGGGCTCTTCAGGGAAAATCCAGAGCACTGCAGAAAACGCTGCTGCTGACTCAGGAGGTGTTTTGCATCCTTCTGCTTTAGAGCTGAGCTCAGTGCCCTCTCTTTATGAAAGAAGGTATGGTCTTTCTTCAACATACTGTCCTTGCAATGAGGTATTAGTCGATCTAATGATCAGCTACGGTCGTGAGTG